TTATCCACTGTCAATTTCTTTTTTCAGGACTCAAAGCTAAAGATCTTGAAATTTAGTTAACTGTTGGGCAAATGCCGTCGAAGAGCAAGAGAGATTTGTGGTGGTGAATATAGGGAGTAAAATGCATAAAAGCTTAGTAGCAAAATTAATGATTAAAAATAGGGGGGAAAATTTAATTTGAACTTAAAAATTGAAAAAAAAGTTATTTGTAAGAATGTTTATGGTCATTTTATTTACTTTAATATTTTAGGCCCAAAAGCAACAAGACATGGAAAGAATGCTGAATAAAGAGATAACAGCAGAACAGACAAAGAGCAAAAACATTGACAACATCAGGTATGATTGTCAAAATACAAATCTAATATCAAAACTTCAAATGGTTTTGACATACAGTGTATTTCAATCCTTCCTAATTATACGTAGAGCTAGTGCTGAGATTACCAATATCATAAACGTTGTATTTCTCTACACAGAGAGTTGACTGAGTTAAACCTTTAAATTAAATTCGATTTTAAAATTATTTATTTCCCATGTAAATGTAGATATAGATGTATGATTCTTTACTTTCAAAGAAAAAAGCTTCAGATTTTAAAGTTTGACTATTCATGGACAGAGACGTTTGAGGAAGCAGAGAGAAGAGCTGAGGTATTTTAGTCCATTCAAATTTATTCAATGGGGATTTAATGATGTATGTCACTGTTCGACTTATTTTGCCTTTGTTTTATTTACAGTTAGCAAAAAGTTTTGGACAGAGAACTGGAGTGGAGAGAAGCAGAGCTGAATACACTCAGAGAAAAGGAGTGCAGATAGACATCTTCAGGTAGTGACTCAGTTTTGTGCTACATTCCTAAAATTTCATCATTCATTTCATTAGTATATTTTTTTTTCTGTGAATAATTCATAGCTCCAAGTGACTGACAATACTTGGAATAAAAAATTTACTGATTGAAGATAATAGTTATACTTATAGTGAACTTGATAAAAAAATATTTTTTAAATAAAACTCTCTTCCTTGTAATTTAAACTTTTTTGCACCAAAATTTGTCTATTATATATTGAATTATTATTATTTAGAATTTATAGACTTAAAAATATAAGAAGACATCATTGTAAAAATGTGAACAATATTGATCAATTTCATGCTGTCCTCCATTTTTTTTACCCAAATGTAACTTAAAATTGATTGTCTAGTGCAGTACAAAAATGCTTTTTCATATCTTAGGGAAAAGAGACATGATACAAAGAGGCTAGGAAACACTTCAACAAAAAAGACGTAACTCGAAGAATAAAACGAGAGGTAAAGTGTTCGTTCTTACATGTAAATATGTGCATGAATGTGATACATGTATGTGTTAATTTATCAAGAACATTTTTTTTCCTTTTTGAATGTCTTTTAATTGATAATTTTCTTGCATTCAGAAAAAAAAGCCAATAAAGATACATTTATAATTATACATATTTGTTTAGACCACCAACCCACCCTCAACAGAACAAAGAAAGAATGTGAATAAATATAACAGAGATTATAGTTAAATTAGAGATAAGAGAGATTTTCCGAAAGAGGACCAACAAATTACAAACAATGATCTAACAGATAAACAGTCTCCAACTGAAAGGATGAAGTTAGCAGAGCTGAGAAAAGCAGATATATAAGTTATCTTAGAGGTAAAGAAGGCAGAAGAGCTTATCCAAGAGAGAAAAAGTCAGCAGACCTTGCATTTACAGATAAACAATTTATCCTAGAGTAAAAGAAGTCAGCAGACCAAGCATTTACAGATAAACAAGTTATCCTAGATGAAAAGAAGTCAGCAGACCTTGCATTTACAGATAAACAAGTTATCCTATAGAGGAAAAGAAGTCAGCAGACCTAGCATTTACAGATAGAAAAGTTATCCTAGATTTATTTTTATCTTAACGTAGTTTATTTTAATTTGTTTTAGGGTGCTGAAAAATCCATTTGGTAAATATAAATAAAAGCTTGATGCAAGGACAGAAGAATAGTTTGGAGGAAAACTGAAAAATTTTCACACCTTGACCACGACAAAGATTTTATAACAACGCTGTTTATGTGACATGTTTATTTAATTGTCCATCTATAGAATGTCACTCTCTTATTTTATCTCTTTGTGTGACACATAATTATGTTCCCCAAACGAAGTTGGGGAACATATTGTTTTTACTCTGTTTCTTATTATTATTATTATTATTATTATTATTTTTCTTCTCGGAAAATTTTGTCCGCGAATGATCTTGTAAAGTACACATCCGATTAAGGGGAAACCTTTTTAGGGTAAGTAGGCATGTTATGTAGAATTGCGGAATCAAGGTCATTTTGCGCGCACGTGCTTGCAAGAGCGCGCACGTGCAAAACTTGAAATGACCAATATATAATGGATATAACCGTAACTTTTCTATTTTTAGACGAAATATTTTGAAACTCATAATGTAAGGATATATGAGTAGTATGCACAAGATGACATGGTCAAAATAGCAAGATCGCACGTGCAAGCACGTGCGCTTCGCTCTGATTGGCTGAAACTAAAGTCTCAATATCTTTCTTGTTTTTTGATAAAATCATTTGAAATTTTGAACATAGTCAAACATTAAGGAGATCTACAGCCCGTAATAAAAGAAATATCATGAAAGCATGTGCATGCACGTGTGCTTGCAAGAGCTCGCACGTGCAACACGAGAAATGTCCAATATAATTGATACAGACGTAACTATTTAAATTATTGATGATATGCTTTGAAACTCATATTATAAGTATATATTAGAAGCATAGACAAGATGACATGGTCAAAAAAGCGAGATCTCACGCGCATGCACGTGCGCTTCGCTCTGATTGGCTGAAACTAAAGTCTCAATATCTTTCTTGTTTTTTTGACGAAATCCTTTTGAAATTTTAAATATAGGCATGCATAAGGATATCCTACAATAAGATATATAGCAATTATTTTGAAAAGGCGTGCATGCACGTGCGCTGCAATCTGATTGGCTTATGCTTTAAATAGCTATAACTCCCTTGGTTTTCAACCAAACAGGATGGTATTTGGAACATAGACAGATATAATGGACTTCTACTGGTCACCATGCACATGCATACACGTGCATGTACGTGCGCTGCAATCTGATTGGCTGAAACTTTGAACAGCTATAACTCCCTTGGTTTTCAACCAAACGGGGTGGGATTTAGAACATAGATAGATGTAATGGACTTCTACAAGAAAGTATGGTCGCCATGCTCATGTGAGCACGTGCGTGCACGTGAAATGAGTAAAATCAAAAATACACTTGAATTAGCGTATTTTTTAATACGTTTGGATTAAATACTTTGATATTTAGTATATTAAAATCTATAGATTGTAAAGACAAGATTGTATGGTCATTACGCACATGCATTCACATGCGCAAGCGTGCAATGCTAGAATTTGAATGAAATTGGTACACTTCTGGGTAAACGTTGTTAAATCTCAAATGCGTAGAGTTTGTCTTATTTAATAAAGCTTATAGGGAATATGGCACCAAAAGGGAGTTGGGGAGCGTTTGGGGAACATCTGTAACGGTCCCCGTTACAATTAGCACTAGTTTCTTCTTTGTGTTTAATTTGTTTTACTTAAACTTGTTATTTTTTGGTCAGTTGGAGACGGACAGCCGTGCCGTCAAGACCAAACTGTAGTCGAAAGAAATACTAAAATAAATCCAGAAAATATCCTAAGTTGTTTTGAACATCTTTATTTCTGCCTATAAAGTAAAACGGTTCGATCCCTTATCAAACGCATTGGAAGCACTGGGATAAGAAGCGCCATAGGCCGAGTTTGGAAATACGTTACTGGTGGAGAGTAACGTATTTCCAACTCCGCGTTGTTATAAAATCTTTGTCGTGGTCAAGGTATGAAAATTACTTTATGGGATTAACTCTGTTTAACACCAATTGATAATTTGATTAATTCAAAATGATTCACGTGGAACGTAAGATATCTTGCTGAATAAATAAAGGATCAGAAAGGTTTCATAAAAATTATCATAAAAAGCAGCAAAAATAACTAAATAACAAATCAGTAATTATAATGAAGTTGAACATTTAAAATCTTGTAATTTTTCATCACGACAAATGTCGTGTACTCATTATGTGAATTTCTAATTCAATAATTAGTAAACGACAATAGTTGAAAGGTATTTTCTATACTCGTAGAGACTTGAAGCTGATGGCTTGTTAATACTTCCCGAGGAGATTGGGGTGTTTTTTAAAACAAATCATCAACTTCTCAAAAAAAGTCCATACGTTTACGATCAGTAAATGTATCATTATATGTGGGCAGCAAACGTCTGAATTTTTGGTAAGATATGTCACAGTCTTAAAGTGCTCAAAAATTTTTCGGATTACCCAGACAATCTGTAACACAGTTGTAAGTCGTAGGATATTTTCACTGAAGATTAGCATTGTTTATTAACTGATGTGAGAATTAATATGAGGTTTAATTAAAGTCATCAGCTTTAATGATTGGTAGCTTCTTTGTACAAGGCTAATTCAAAATAGTTTAAGAATAATGAAACATGTTTATCAAAACCTTTACTTTTGATATATATCAATTCAATTTAAAGAAAATCATGGTGTATTTGAAACGGTCTATGAATCTGTAAAAACTCAGTGTCACGAAAAGTTTAAGAAGTAAGTATAAACATCTTGTTTTGATTGACCTGAAAGGATGAAACTTTAAATATCCTAGTTGATTCTCGGACAACATAACGTAAAGCAGGTAAGCAAAAATTGCACAAAAATCATTTTAATTTTTTTCAATTATGTATGCTACTCTGAAGTTTTACTTTCCCTCTGTAGAATAAAACTGATGAAATATTAACGATCAAAATAAAATAATAATGACTATCATTGAAGCAGCATGAGAGACACAAAAGTATCCTTTATTGATACAGAGAATAAGAACATCTACCTTTTAAGAAAATCTAAATGTTTCTAAGTTGCCTTTTTCTTTAACTAAGAAATCATCATGGACGTGCGAAAGTGGATCATTCTCTGGTTCCTGATTTTATGTCTAACAGGAGGACAAGGGGCTCCGAATCAGAAACCTCACATCTTCTTCATTGCAGTTGATGATATGGGTAAGAAAAGACAAATTATCAAGAACATGAAAGTACTAAAACGATTGAAAGTTCTACTGAGCTACTGACAAGTTTAGTCCCTCACGGTTTAAAAGAAACAAATTGCACATTGCAAAAACCTAAGAACTGATTGAATCTATTGATTCTCAATAAAAAAAAAATTTTCCATTCAGGTAATCACGATATCGGATACAACAATGATGAAGTCCTGACCCCTAATCTTGACCGTCTGGCAGAGGCGGGGGTGATACTGGACGCTAACTACGTCTACCCTGTCTGTACCCCGTAAGTCCAAGGCTGATTTTGATTGAAATGGAGTAAACGTTAGACATATGATATCCCAGTGACATACATTTGCCATAAAAGGCAACAGATTTTTTGCTGAATTGACCAATAATCTTTATTTTAATGATAATGAAGGGAACAAATTAACACGTGAACATTCTTGATTATTTTTCTGGTTTCAAAAACTATGCTCTTGTGGAATTACTTTTAGTACTTTCAAAATTACTTTTAGTTCGAGATCTGCTTTCATGACAGGAAGATATGCCCATAAAACAGGATTCCAGGTAAGAGCATCGGTATTTTCTGTATAGCAAAATATTTCATGTTAACACTCAGTTGTTCTACCCAGTGCATTGATACAATGGTTGATACCTGTATCTTATACCAATCAGTAAGTTATTCTACTGAACATTTCTCAGTTCATGTTAATTTTCATTTAGCATGAGGTCGTTGCAAACAGTCAACCTGCTTATATAGAGAGTAAATACAAGACGGTTGCAGAAAAACTCACAAACAATTATGGATACGCAGCTCATATGATTGGAAAGTAAGAATTTTTTTTATCTTTACACATTCCTCAATTCGTATCTTTTTTTCATCAAATTAAAATGTAAAAATTTAAGCCATGCTTCGAATTAACAAAATACATGTTTGAAAAATTAATGTTTTATTTTTTTAGATTTTGTTAAAGCCATATATGGCGTATGTACAATGAAAATTATTAGACTAAAATTATAAGAACTTAATTATTATTTGTATCATTATTTCATATAAAGATAGAACTTTTCCGTAAATGACAAAATCAAAGTCAATTGCGTTATCATGCGATATCACAATTTAGTTTGGATTCTCGGAATTTTCTCCGACTCGGAAGAAAATACAAAAGATTTAAATAACACATTACAGAGAAGATAAAATCGTATTATTAGTTGAAACGAGGTGTTCTCCGTGTTCAGAACTGTATGAAAAGTTTTAATTTAAATGTATTAACTCTATTTCTTTACTTAATTTTGTATTTTTTGAAATTATATTTTTTGATCAGTTATGTCATATTTGGCTTAAATATTTTTTTGTTATTTTATACTTATTTACCAGCTATGTCGTTTGAACAAATACGAGTATATGTGTAATCATAAAACCTTTATACATTTAGAATATTCATACCAAGAGCCTAGTTTTCTTTATCAACAAGAATGTTAATACAGACAAAGCTTAATATGATTTATTTAATATTTTCCTTAGATGGCATCTAGGATTTTGTAAAGAGGCAGTGACACCAACTTTTCGAGGGTTCAACTCGTTCTATGGGTATTATGGCGGCGGAGAGCACTATTACACTTATACAGCGGGTATGGAGGAAATTATTAAATTATTGTATTTATATTTTAAATTTCTTTGTCTGAAATACGATTACAAGTTATAAAACTAGTTGATTTCTGCATAAAGCTACTTGTTCATTGTTCGACGTTGTTAAAAAATAAAACAAGTGCATGGTAGGAGAGACAGATAAACAAATAAACAGATGGAGGAAAGTAATCTGAGGTTTGACAACTTGAATTTAAGGAACCAAGAGCAAGTTTATATAAGAAATAACTGTAGGATTTGTTGGTTTCATAAATGATGATGATTAAGCAATTTGTTTGATCACATCATAAAACCAAAAAAAAAGTTATTATAAGTTAAATAATGAATTTTAACATTATTTTGTCTTAGCCTTGTCTGTACACATATTATATCTCTTACTCAGGGGGAAACAAAGATTTCCATGACAACCTAACAGCAACAACACCAGAAAACCCTAACTATCCTCAAGAGGATGAAGATGGATATTCAACGGTAAGTAATTGAATTATTACATACAACACTAGAAAACCCTAACACTAGAAGCATATTTAACGGTAGATGAATAGTCCCAAGAAAGTGGAAACTGAATTTATTACGGTAGGTTAAAACATAAGAGCACAGACTCGCTGGGATAATTGATTTTCTGTAGTTGATCATCACTCCTCTCCTCTGATGTATTTTGTAGATAATATTAATTCTCTTCCTCCTTGGGAGAGTTGAAGTGTTTATGGAGTAAATAGTTGGATATATCAATCCTCTTTCTCTATTGGATAGTTGTAATAATTTTCTGTTATTGTCACTCCTTTTCCCTTCCTCTTTCGATGAGCTGCACTTCTCTCAGTTATGAATTATCAATTTTTTTTTTATTTCTGGGATAATTGAGGTTTTCAGTTTTGCTCCCCTCTAAGATAGTTGAGACGAAGTTTTATTTTTTAAATAATCAGTTTCCTTCTTTGTTTTGCCATATGGCATAAGGAAATAAAGAACTGAATTGAATTGAATTTGGGATTGTTGAAATGATGTTTTTGTAGTTGGTTATACATCATCCTCCTTTGTGGGATGGTTGAAGTGTATAAAGTTGGATATGCCTTCATTCCCAAATTTGCGAGATGTGAAGTTTTTTAAGTTGAATATCAGCCCTTGTTGTAGTTTTCTGCCCTCTTGCTGTCTGCGTAATGTTAGAAGTTTACTCTAGTTGCGTATCACTGCTTTTGGTTTCTGGTCTTTTGTATAGTTAATAATCAGTCTTATTACTCTCCGGGTTACTTCAAGTTTTCCTATAATCGTTAGATTTCAGTTCTCTTTCTCCCTGCAATAGTTGAAAAATTTCAGTATTTGACCTCCATGTACAGTGTGATTAAGTTTAAATTCATTGAATAGCCATCCTTATTCTCTTCTTTTCGAGAGAGGCGAGTGTCGACACCAGATGCGTACATGTAGTACGAAAAGTAAGGCAATTTTCTCTTGAACAGGCTTTTTCATCAATCGTGTTTTGACAAAATAAGTACAGATACGTCTTTATTTCTTTTTTCATGTACATGCAATTTTCTGTAATTAGAATAAACATGATGGTTGTAATTTAATTAAAAATGAATCAAAATTCACAATTTTGCACCGAGAACAAATACATGGAACAACAAGGATTTCATGCAAGCTTTGCTCTTAAAAACTTATTTTAAAGTGTTATGCTTTTTTATAGTATGAATACGCAAAAAGAGCCATCAGCATCGTACAAAACCATAACAGCTCCCAGCCACTGTTTATGTACCTGGCTTTCCAGGCTCCCCACAGTCCTCTCTTGGTATGTATTGTGTCAACACGATTTACCACACAAAAAATTAAACCTGGAGAAAAGTTAAAGCGTCGTGAAATGTTAACATCACAGTTTGACCTCTCTAGGCACCCCAGGCTCTAAAGGACAAATATCCCGGTACCTGGACGTACACGGACGAAGATGGATCGACGATCACCACAGAAAGATCCACATTTTATGGTTGGTTTACACGTTTATTTAGGTTGTCGTTAAGAAAGCACTTTAAATAAGAAATGGACCCAATAGTCCATTAAAATATAAAAATTAAAAGTAATATTTTCAATTAGAAAACATTAACATTAAAAAATTACTTCATGCATGACCTTTAATGGACATTTCAAATGCCTAATAATATGATAAATAAAAACGACCTTATTTGATAAATCGATCATAACTACGTACGTATGTCTTTGATATAAAAAGCTTCATCGGAATCAACATGATAAAGTTTTACATATTTAATTTTAAAGGCCAATGGGATGCAGATGTTTGATTTTTTATCGTACGTTACGGTAGTTTAAATTAAATTGAAGAACCTTTTTGTAGCTATGGTAACAGCGGTAGACCAGGCTGTTGGTGAACTTCACGCCGAGCTGGAAAAGTTACGACTCCTGGAAAACGCCATCATCGTCTTCACTTCTGATGTATATTTGAACACCAGTGTTATCATTGATAATAATAAAATGGCGAAAATCATTAACCATTTTTAAGAGCAATGCATTAAATTATGTATTTTTTAATGCTATCATAAGTAAAATGTAAATTGTTACAATGATTATTAGATATTAAAGCTATATATGGCGTTTCGGAGCTAAAAAAAAAAGTACGATATTTACAGTAGATTTACATACTACTAGTATTTGCTATTAACCTTCAAAATAATTTTTTCATCGATTTGGAACTTAAATATCCCCACGTTTCTATAGTAAAAGTGACTTTAAACCGTGTCTAATATTTAATACCGATTCGGTAAAAATCGGTTATTGTTTTAAATCGCAAATATCTATGAAACGCGATTGATTTAAATTCTGTAATTTTCAGGAAAGTACGTACTATTTTTTTGTACAGTAACAAAACATATAGAAAGATCTTTTTAATTTTAGTTAGTCTGAACTTATTAAAAAAAACGCCATGTATGACCTTAACTGCAGGAGACACTGTTTCATAAAGGTGTATTCATACATTAATTTAATGAGATGTTAACTTTTGTGTTCAGAATGGCGGACTGCCTAAACTAGGAGGGTTCAATAATCCCTACAAGGGCACCAAGGGCACTTATTTCGAGGGAGGAATTCGTGTCCCAGGATTTGTTTACAGCAAAAACTTACTTACAGTGTCTGGCTACAGGAACCAGGGGTAAGACATTATCTAGGCAAAGATTCGCCGTATTATCAGATACATGAAAATCATTGATGGAAAGTAATATCAAATGCAAAATAAAGAATGAGTTTCTCTTGACTTTTACATAAAGTCCCTTTTTGTGAATTATTTTATCTATTATTTTTATTACTTAATTGGTACAATAGCTGATATATACTTTGTTCAGAATGCTTCACGCAAGCGATTGGTTGCCTACCTTCATCAGTCTGGCGGGAGGAAGAGCAGGTAAGTACATTCCAAGAAAAGAAAAACAAACGAAGATCAAACACTCCAACAATGACTTCATTTAAGCAAACAAATTTGCCAGTAGCCTAGAGATGTATCATAGTAATGATTTTGACTGAAAGTTAAAGGTCACTAAGAATACATAAAGGGGTGTAAATCTGGATGTGCTGGGTGGAACAAATTCCAAATTACTACGGTAACTTGGAATGAAATTTTAATAAAAGAGATTCTTTTTCAAATAAATAAATGCCTTGCAACTTTAACTTATTGATAATATCAGTTTACCTGTGAACTACCCAACTCATAACTGGTGGAACACCATACCTATGTAGAGCGTTTTCACCCAACAACAGTAACCAAAGTACCGTATTTCGATATTGCATAAACTTTTGATTAATTTGGGTGTTTGGAGCATGATTTTATTCCTCAATTTTCAATTTGCCTACACACATTATGTAATGTTTCATAATCTACATATGTGTTCAACTAAATAAAATCATGGATACATTTCAACCAAAGCTGTCTTACATGTTTTTATTTCTTATGCATCAGCTGGACTAGTTCTTATTTACATGAAGTAGAAATTAATATGATCAAGGGACGTCTACAAAGCGAAGAGAAAAGATAAGATAATATTTATTTAAAGTCGGGTACATCAAACAAAAAAGATTAGCTCTGGAGAGCTATTTTCCGACTACCTATAACGTTACATAAAATACAACAATCATACATAATACTACTAAACAAGAAACAGTATTTAAAAATTATATCACACTAATAAATATCACTATTACTCCGTGGTGCTTTACAATGACATATGACATAGTATTTATCACATTATACCAACGACTGAAAATAAAATAAAGTCTGTTTACTAGTTTCTAAAAATAAATTTAGCGACAAGCACAGCAATCACAACAATTTCCGTACCAACTTCTTATATTATTAATATTTCTAAAAGATTCTGGTAAAGAATTCCATAGTTTTGTGGATTCATATCCAAAAGACTTGAACCCATACGTAATGGATCTTGCTCTTGTTTTCGTGTATCTAAAAGAATGTTTCTTTAATATGGATAAAATCGAGCAGGTAAGATGGGCTTTGTTTGTTTAAAATCTTAAAAGAGATAGTCTGGCTTATGAAATAAGGAGAAGGAGGGACTTTCTTTCAAAAGACAAAATATAGTTGAATATTTTTGAATCAATTATGTTTGATTTGTAGTCGTCTTTTTTCTACAGATTTGGCTTCAGACAGTGATTTAGTGGACATTGATGGCGTGGACCAGACTCAGATGTTATTGAACAATGGAGCATCAGCAAGGTCTAAAATCATAATCAACATCGACGACCTGGAAACCAGATCAGCAATCTTTGGAATCATGTATGTAAACTTTTGTAAACTTTTTTTTTTTATTAATTTAACACTTTCACATGTACATATAAAATAATTTTCATCATTTGGTACACAATAACAATGGGTCTACACACAATATACAGTTATGTTTATAGAATGTGAAAGGTGTTTTTAAAAAAAAAAAGACAAAGAAAAGGGGGGAGGGGTAACTTTTGTAAACTTAATACCTGCCTTAATTAAGGCCGTGATGTACTGGGCTTCCTTACCCATTGCATGAGCAGTGGGTCTTTTTTGAGCAGCCTTAACTTCTACTGTAAAAAACGAGATCTCGCCTTGTACGGTTTCATCCAAATACTGATCTCTGCTGTAGAACTCGAACCTAACACTGTTAGAAATATATTTTATAATACAGAAATTGATCTATTCTTCAGCAGAGATGTTTTCTTATTTAAATGATAAATATATTTTATAGTTTTATGAAATCTGCTTGTCATCGTAGTAAACAAAATGGCACAGACGTCTGGAAATACGTTCAAGGAGACATTGGATCCAGAGACATAGTCTATACAGCGACAAAAGTCAACAAGAAGAGAAATTTTCTACAGCGGCTTATTGAAGCACTAAAGCAGAAAAAGTCCAAAAGGACAAAGCGGGCTATTACTGACAGATACCTGTTTAAAATATCTGGTACGTACACCACAAGGGTATCGAGGATACATGTACATTTATACTGACGTATAATATGTACTTCTTCATCGCCACTCGATATGAAAGCTTATGTTTTTAAGAACCGTGACCCTTCTCAAATTAAATCCAGTCCATGAAGCAAATTGTTTTATTTTTCCGTGAACATGGTGAAATAATTTTACCGGTTCCTTGGGGATCTACTGGATAATTTCCATTCTTTCTAACTGGAATATACCTACAAACCGATGCAAAGATATTGATTATAAGGATATAAATTCATTGGGTTTGATGACCCACGAAATTCATGAACTTTTGGACCCATGATGAACAATATGATTACTCACAAGCACTAAGAAATAGGCGTATAATAAAAATAAAACTACTCTTAAGTAATTCAACTTTAAAAGGTATATTTATATTTTAGATGATATCACCGAAGACGTCAATTTGTACGGTGATTCATCCCCCGATATTCAAAATATCCTGTCAGACTTGCAGGAAGAAGTAAGAGCTGAGAAGAGGATCGCGGTGAGCCCTATGAATCCGTATGAGTGCACCAACGCCAACAACAAAGTCAACGGATTCTGGACCGCGGGGGCGGGAGACGGATGGTGTGGTTGTACATAATAATTATTCCCTTTGAAATTAAAACTTATATCCAATCATGATTCTGTTGTGCTTTTAATTTCCTTGTAATTGGAAGGAAAAGTATTTAAAAATCCTTGCATTTGAAAACATGCTTTTATTGCAAACGGAAGTTGTTTGTTCAGTTATTGGCTATGGAAAGATTTTTTAGACAATTTATTTTATACTCTATTCGAATGACCAGGCAGTGAATACTGTAACAGGTATGTCTTACATACACTGTAGTACCTGATACATGTACCTATGCATAATTTGACGTTTCGTTTTGTTTCTAGTTAAATTTTGTCAATTTGGAACAAAGTTAAATGTTAAAATGGTTTTAGACAGTAAAACTTTGAAGTACAATTCCAAATATAAAGAAATGAATATGAAGAGAATTTACACAAATCTGTCCTTTGATTGAACATTGTCATTATACATTTGAAAATGAACTTAACATTGTAAGACTGGTTTTAAAATTAGATATGCATTAATAACAATGACATGTAATAAAATGATGTCATTACTCCCTATTCATCTCCCTCTATAATAAATAATAATAATAATAATGACCTTTATTTATCCAGAATAACACAATTAGCATAAAGCTAGTTTTCATTGTGGTCCTGCATTATAACATATTTACAATCACATAAGGATATACAAAATTAACATCTTAATATAAACACAAGATATAAAATACAACATATACATGAGGAAGCATATCTTTTATACACTCAAACATTGGGAAAAAATCCATTTTAAGTATTGAGTCTGTTAAAATACTCAGCGAGATACACAGATTTAAAAATATCCACTGACCTAGAATTTCGAACATTTTGTGACAGTTTGTTCCATAAAAATGCACGTGAATATCTAAAAGAACGTTTGTAATTTTCTGTTTTGGCTCGTGGTAAATACAATATGTTTGACATAAAATCATTCGACCTGGTTTGGCGACAATTGACATCTCTTGTATATTGAAACACATTCAAATAATCTGGCATTTGATTGTTTAAAACCTTAAATAGAAAAGTGACCTGTCTAAACATAAAATAATCCTTGATTGGCATCCAGTTTAAACAGGAAAATAAAAAGGTAGTAGGAGTTAAAATATCTCGAATGTTTAAGAGTATTCTAGCTGCCCTCTTTTGAAGTTTGTACAACTTTTCTAAAAACATTTGATTTTTCACATTGCACCAAACAGTGGAACAGTAAGTAAAATGCGGAAATACAATACTATTAAAAACCTAAATTAAAGCATTTGGTGGCATAAAATGACTCACTCTCTTAAGCACAGCCAGTTTTCTTAAAATTTTCTTTGAAATAAAGTCAACATGAACATCCCAAGATAAGGTATTATCAATATAAACACCAAGTAATTTGGCCTGCTTCACAAATTCAATTTGAACATCATTAAAATTTATGATAAGATTTCTACATTTTTGTAACCTTTTGGATGTGCCAATAAGCATGCACTGCGTTTTTTGGAGATTTATACTGAGCTTATTTTTTATCATCCATTGAATTCCTGATTCTAAATCTTCTTGAAGTTTTTTCTCAATAACGTCTATGCATTTATCGCTTACATCCTGCGAGATGTCGTCTGCGTACATTGTGACTGACGAGTGTTTAAGACATTTTGAGTAGTCATTGATATATAAAATAAAAAATAACGGTCCTAAAATTGACCCTTGAGGGACACCTAAAGATATTTCTTTTTCTCGAGACAGAGCACCGCGCCAACTGACACTTTGCTTACGATTTAAAAGATAAGATTTAAAAAATTTAAAAGTATTTTCACAGATTCCAAATGACCTCAGCTTGTGTAAAAGAACTTTATGATTGACTGTATCAAAGGCCTTACGCAGGTCAATAAACAGAACTCCAGTAAGTTTACCGTCCTCCATGTTTTTAAACCATTTATCTGTTAGATTGTCTAGTGCTGTTTCACATGAGCGACCTGGCCTAAAACCTGATTGACTTTCAGTTATTAGTTTGTTCTTTGATAAATATTCATAAAAAGAATTAAAAACATGACGCTCAATAATTTTGCTAACGAGTGGCAAAATAGATACGGGTCTGTAATTGTTTACTAGATTTTCATCACCCGCTTTGTACAATGGAACTACTCTTGCTCTTTTCCTCTGTATTATGTATGGCATAAGTACACTAAAAACACAAGGATTCAAAACGAAATTAACAATATAGCCACGTCCTTATCAGTACAGAACATATTCTGTTTGATTATTTGACGTGTTCGAACTCGATGTAACATACAAACCAATGCTTCACGCTACGAAATTTAGTAGGCCTACTCACAACGTTACCCGAGGAAAGAAATCACGTGGTGTATTATAATATTGAAAGTGACAACCCTTGGTTACAAAGAGATGGCTGACTTAGATATATTCATTTCTTAAAACCAAACGAAAAATGCTTGCTTTGAAAGCCATTTTTCCACCATTATTGCATGAGTTAATTGGAAGCTGGAATACAATACTTACAATGTATTTACTGTTTTATTGTCTCATATATTCTAGCATTGGTCTACAGTAAAAGATAAGGTCAATGAAAAATTCATGTACTAGTATATTTTTTCTTTTTTTAAAAATAAATTCTAATCAACACTGCTGCCAATAATTCAAATTAATGATTCCATATAATATTGAATCCATTAAAAACTCTACAAAAAAATGCAGTATACCTAGTATTCTCTTGCATTATTGATGCAGTTGGAGATAGAAACTCATGATCAAAATAATGTTACGGAGAGCATTCATATTTAGCACCAGACACAAAAATACAGGTGTCATCTAAAGAGGCATATTGATAATGCAGGTTATCTTGCCTGCTTTTGGGTATTAGCTAAATCTCTCCAGAACGTTTACCCTCACACTGTTGGGGGGAAAGGAGATGTGAAAAATGGATGATTTAAATAGCAGAGGTGATGTTTTACACGAAGATTCATAGTTATCATTGATCATGACATGAAAAGCACACCTAGTAAAAATATCGATTACCATGTCAAAATAATTTAAAATTGGTTATTAATTTAGTTTTGTGTTTGCTTTAAGAAGCAAAGAGTTAATATTCATTATCAGATAATCCCGCTCAGTCATTTATTCAAGCACCTACCTTGGTTTTATGCCCACTGCGCACTTTATCCGGCAAAACAGAATTTTCAGGAATCCATGGCTTCCAAGTATTATAAATGTAATGCAAAATTTTTGAATGATTAAAAAACCTACATTTTCCTGGAAATTGCTTCATTGTGCAATCACACAATTAACATCGAAGAACGTGTATCAATTTTCTCAAACATACAGTTTATGTACTGTATACTTTCTAGTTTTACCCAAGAATATGTATTATGATGGTTCTTATTACATTATTTGAAGAGGCAAAGTTAGGGTTCAAGGATTAAATTCTAATATTTTTCTATATTTTATTTAAATACTAAGTTAAGTGCATATTATGTCCTATGAAAGATTAGTGAAGTATTTACCCACTTAATTTGTAATAGAATATAAATTGTAGTTAATAGTAACTGGAACGGCGCCATTTGGTGATGTTTAAAATAATATTAATACATACATTGTATTTTAATCAAAAGAACAGAGATTTGGCTGCAGCTATTTTTTTCGAAATCGCATAAAATATTGCTTTTTGATTCAGCAAAAATCAAATAAACCTTAGTAACAATTATATGGCATTCAAGTAGAGCTTACATCTCACGGCTAGTTCTGTAGAATTCTACAGATCCTGACAACACAGTCAGTTATCAGATATTTTTTTCTATTTAATCTAGAAAGACATCCATAGGGGCTGAAACATCCCATGCATTCCTTTTGTCGATTATTTTATCAAAAAAGCAGGGGGGATGAAAGATTGCAAAAAATGCTATACCTCCCATTTTATCCCCTTTGACACTTGTAAGCACCTCTTTTATTTGATAACAGCAGCCCCGCGATAAACCCTGTTCAACCAATGGTGCAGCAGTACAGGATAAAACGGATGACAACTCGTAATTTATAAAACAAACGCTACCAAAATCAACACAACCTTGGTCCGGTTTTATTTCTATATTGATGTTTTCATGGTTACCTCTGTAACAACCAATTTTATCTTAATCTTTTTATGACGTCTGCGCATATCGAACGTTCAGATCAAAATTAACAAAGGTTTCAGAAGGAGAGAGAGCAAGGTCTTTTGCATCATAATCTGTAGGTAAGAAATGATACCAAATTACGTTTTTTTAAAGCTCAGAAAGTAAGTTTTTATAAAATGATTCTTATTTGTAAAAACACTAAAATCAACACATTAATATAAGAATGGCGTGAAATATGGACACCATATTCTGAAATATATTTAGTATAGGGAAGCTTGAATAAGGAAGACAGGAAATATGGACTGCTTTGTTAAAATCTTGGTTCTAGTCATGTTTCTTCTTCTACTGATTGAAAACAGACAAGACGTATGTAGTGCAGGTATGAAGCATCCTAATTCTTATAGCCTGATATTTTAGTTCAGGTGTTTATTTGTATCTAACAGCAATCTAAATTGCTATCCCAAAACAAGGGTTTTTTTTGGTTACTTTTCTCTTTGTCATATCAATTAAAAAGAAGCTGAAATTTGCATGCAGACTCGCAGGTGCATACTCTAACGTTCCGGGAGCCTCTTTTGTGTTTTTGTCTTTTCAGTGAACAATATTCAGGAAACTTTAACTTGTACTCTTAATTCTTTTAAAAATGACATCAGATTCAGTCATACACAACTTTTTAGGTTGTTTTGTTTAAAATATAAATCCTCTAATTTATAGTGAATCTTATAATATTCGATGCATACTATAATAATTTTGTGGAAAAACGTCTACAAAAAAAAATTAAAATTCGTTTAACGAGAAAAAGTTTAACCAATGTTTAGGATTATGCATTTATTTCCATGTCTAAATTCTAAAACTTTGCCGATCTTTGTACATTTTTATTTGAATTTGAACTAAATATAACTATATGTACATGTTTAATAACCAAGATGCTTTTTTTCTTTTTTTTCTGAAACAAAAATCAAAATAGATACGACAAGTGCACCACCACCTACATTAAACACCTCGTCAGGTAACTATGAAAAAAAGAAAAAGACTGTTTTCATGATTATACTTTCTTTAGTCTATATCTTTTTTTTCTTTTTTTTTTCTTTCTTTTTTCTGAAGATATATGATGTTTTCCAAAAAATAACTGAGAATATGGGTATAATTTTAGGTGGAACGACAACTACTCCAACTAAATCAGCGAATACTACAGTAACAGGTAGTTTAAATAGCCTAACAAAGTTATCAGATTTTGTCTCTACAACCACGCTGTCCTTGGTGCCAAGTTAAGAACACATATCGTCAGTTAACTTTGTTGAGGCTTTGTTACATCTTCTTCGTGACTAAGGACAGATGATATTTTTTTGAAAAATATTGTTTGTAAATAATGTAAACATAATTTTGTTTAAAATATTAAGTTTTTAAAAAAAAAAATTTGATGTTCAAAATTAACATTTTCCCTGTCATCCTTAAAAATCTATACAACTTCTCATAACATTATATGACATTATTATGAAGTTTGTAATGAAATGTTGAAATTTATGCCGCCAAACTTATTCATTTTACTAATACAAACATGACTTTACTCATTACTTTAATGATTTAAAAAAAGTTTGTTTTATTTGTCCATAATGGATTGAATAAACACTGACAACTGTTGAGTAAACTGCTTCCAATTCACTTCTGTGTGTTTTAAAACCTTGCTTACAATTTCTTCAATGTTTTGATATAATTCATTGAAAAAATATACAGTTTTAAAAAAGCCAGTTCGTTGTAGTATGTAACAAACATTTTGTTTTTTTTCAACAGTGTCTACAACTACACCAAAGCCTCCTTCAGGTAATATTGCAGTGTAACATAGTCGTAAATAATGTAAACATAATTTTGTTTAAAATATTAAGTTTTTTAAAAAAAAAATTTGTTGTTCAAAATTTACATTTTCCCTGTCATCCTTAAAAATCTATACAACTTCTCATAACATTATATGACATTATTATGAAGTTTGTAATGAAATGTTGAAATTTATGCCGCCAAACTTATTCATTTTACAAATACAAACATGACTTTACTCATTACTTTAATGATTTAAAAAAAGTTTGTTTTATTTGTCCATAATGGATTGAATAAACACTGACAACTGTTGAGTAAACTGCTTCCAATTCACTTCTGTGTGTTTTAAAACCTTGCTTACAATTTCTTCAATGTTTTGATATAATTCATTGAAAAAATATACAGTTTTTAAAAAGCCAGTTCGTTGTAGTATGTAACAAACATTTTGTTTTTTTTTTTCAACAGTGTCTACAACTACACCAAAGCCTCCTTCAGGTAATATTGCAGTGTAACATAGTCGTAAATAATGTAAACATAATTTTGTTTAAAATATTAAGTTTTTAAAAAAAAAAATGATGTTCAAAATTAACATTTTCCCTGTCATCCTTAAAAATCTATACAACTTCTCATAACATTATATGACATTATTATGAAGTTTGTAATGAAATGTTGAAATTTATGCCGCCAAACTTATTCATTTTACTAATACAAACATGACTTTACTCATTACTTTAATGATTTAAAAAAAGTTTGTTTTATTTGTCCATAATGGATTGAATAAACACTGACAACTGTTGAGTAAACTGCTTCCAATTCACTTCTGTGTGTTTTAAAACCTTACTTACAATTTCTTCAATGTTTTGATATAATTCATTGAAAAAATATACAGTTTTAAAAAAGCCAGTTCCATGTAGTATGTAACAAACATTTTGTTTTTTTTTCAACAGTGTCTACAACTACACCAAAGCCTCCTTCAGGTAATATTGCAGTGTAACATAGTCTATTTACATGTAATAACTTGATTTTTTAAATAAATTTCTATAATATTCAAAGATAATTCTGAATATCATTGAAGTTTTATAGCTCTTCTGTGGAGCAAAAATAAAGTTGCATCAAATTACAAAATGTAAATTAATGTGCAACATTATGATAGTTCTTAACTTGTATAAGATAAAAGTTTGTTAAAATATCATACGACGTCAATAGTTTATTTCCTCATTAAGGTACTACCACGAAGACTCCTTCTCCTGCATCAGGAAAAACCACTCCCACTTCAGTAAAAACATCAGGTAGTGCCTCATCATCCGTCACATTACACGGCAGTACACATTCACCAAATGTAAACGCCACCACAAAAGGAAATACCGCTAGTATTCCAAAATACAACTTCTATCTTTTTTTGCTACTAGGACTCTTCATTTTGCGTTTTTGAGATAATTCGGAAAATACGAACTTGTGTGATATTCATTACTCTATGACGCGGGATCCTATCGCCGAATGAGTAATTGTGTAATGTAATTTATTCAATTTTTTTTTTCATGATTATAATTTACAACAGTTTATAGAATTTCCTAAATCATTGTATTGTAAACTTAATGTATTCCATAAAAAAGACACAGTACCATTATCATAACTCAATTTTGGGGGGAACTCTGTTAATTAACTGTTAATAAAATTCAGTGGTTTGCATCTAAACATTAGGTATTTATGTAATTATACAACTTATAAATAGTCAATTTGCACCAACCAGAGTTGTTGTTAATGGTATTCATGCATATGGAATACATTTTACGACATTTGTGATAGCTAAATATGTGCTTTAACCAATATCTTGGGTCTTTTGTTGGTTTCTAGTTAAGAATGAATTGCAGGATAAACACTTTACTATTATCTTGAAATAAGATAGTGTACATTTAATTAGATCTAGTATTTCTTTGAATCAATTTTTTTATTGTTTGGTAAAAAATCCTCTCTTGTAGCAATTCTGTCAATTATTTTTAGTCAATATTGATTTGATTTTAATCTGTACTTTTTAAAATTAAAATGTTATTGTTTGAGATTGAAGCTTCATGATTGGTTGATTGACTAATTTATTGTTTAACACCAAGTCGGCAATATTTCAGTCATATTTCGGCGATTGAAGCTTTATGAATAAATCGACCATAAAAGATGACATGTTTATATATACATATG